ACCATTCCTGGCTTTTGAGGTACAAATAGCTTTCATTGGATCCCAGCTGTGTGATGATCACCATGGTTTTTGTTAATGGTTGGTTAAGTAGGGCTAGAGCTATAACTCCAGGGTACAGTGCTTGCCTTGCATACAAGAAGCCCTGGGTTTGATCCCCAGCACCCTCCATCCCCCAGAAAGTTGGTTAATTAGATGAATGCTACACCTTAAGTGGATAAGGGACTGTAAGAGTCAAATTTGAGAGGATGGTCTTGCTATATAGTTCAGGATGGTCTTGAACTGATTTTGTAGCCTCAACTGGCTTTCAACTTGTGGTGATCTTCCTGCCTCAGCTTCCCAAGGAGAGTAGAATCATTTTTGGTGTCCATAGTCAAAGAGAGTGTTATATCCTCAGATAAGAAAATTGACATTAAAAAAAGAAAACAAATTGAAAAGAGAGGTTCAGAGCCAGGCAGGATGGTGCACACTTATCATCCCAGCACCCTAGAAGAATGAGGCAGGAGGATCGCTGTGAGTTCAAAGCCAGTGTAGGCTACATAGTGGGTTTAAGGCCAGCCTGAACTACATAGTGAGACCCTGTCTCAGAGGGGAAAAAATACACAAAATCATAGTAGAGGTTGTGGCTGGAGATGTAGTTCAGTGTGAAGGGCTTGGGTTCAATCTCTAGTAGTGAGCACCCCTCCAAAAAAAAAGTGAAAATACAAGAAAGACAAGTTCTGGGTTGACTATTCTTTTTTTTGTTGCTATTCTTTTTCTGAGGGGAGCGGTCTTGCTATGTGTTTCAGGGTGGCCTAGAACTCCTACTGCCTACTGCCCAGTCCAGGGCTGGGACTATAGCAGATCCACCAAGCTTCTTTTACCTTTTTTTTTTTTTTTTTGTACTGGGGATTGAACTTAGAACCTTATGCTTGCAAAGCAGGCAGCGGAAACACTGAGCTAAATCCCTGGCTTTCCTTTTACCTTTTTTGAGACAGGATCTCTGCAAGCTGGCCTCAAACTTTATTTATTTATTTATTTATTTTTATTTATTCATTCCTGTACTGGGGATGGAACCCAGGGCCTTCACCCTGAGCTATACTCCCTAGCCCTTTTTTTGTTTTATCATTAAAAAGTTGCTGAATTGCTCAGGCTGGGCTTGAACTTGCAATCCTCCTGCTTCAGCCTCCTAGAATGGAGGGAGGGATTACAAGTATGCAGCACTGCACCAGATGAGACTGGGTCAGTTTCTCCATCCTCTGCCTCAGCCTCTTCCTATCTGGGATTACAGGCCTGTACACCATGCCCAGCTTCCTTTTTTTTCTGTATGAGGCATTGAATCCAGGACATGTGCTCTACCACTGAACTAATTCCTCAGTCCTAGCTAAGTCTTTTTTTTTTTTTTTTTTTTTTTTTTACAAGATTGAACTCAAGACCTTGTGCTTTGAAGGCAGGTGCGGTGCTGCTGAGCTAAATTCCAGGCCCCACTATGTCTTTAAAAAGTGCTGTTTGAGGCACTGGTAGGAAGCCTTTGGTGGGCCCTTCAGTGAGACCTAGGTTGGTGATGTTTGGCATGAAGCACCCCAAGGAGTATTTTAGAAATTGGCCGGTCATCCTCCGTTTGTGGAGTCAGATCTGAGCGGATCCAAATAAAGAAGACAAAATTACAAGAAATTTGCTTCTAGATCTAACTGGCTTTTATTTATTTATTTATTTATTTATTGTGGAGACAGGATCTCACTATGTAGTTCAGGCCGACCTTGAATTCATTGTGTAGGCCAGGCTGGCCTTAAACTCCTGATGATCCTCCTGCCTCAGCCTCCTGAGTGCTGGGATTATAGGCATGCACCACTAGCTTTAATTGGCCTTTTTTTGGTACCAAAGATTGAACTAAGAGCCTTCCTACTGAGCTACATCCCCAACCCTTTTTATTTTTTATTTTTTACTTCAAGACAAAGTCTTGCTAAAGTTGCTCAGGTTGTGCTCAAACTTGTAATCCTCTTGCCTCAGCCTCCCAGAGTGCTGGAATTACAGGCTTGTGCTGCCACTCCTGGCTGTAATTGGCTTTTATTTGTGATTCATGAGTCATGGTAGCCTCAGTCTACATAAGAGAATATGTCTCTCTAGGCAATTGCTAATCTGTGGGTTCTAACCCAGCCTGAGGAATTTATGTACTTATTTTTGTGTGGGGTTCTTTTGTTGTTGTTGTTTTGTTTTTTTGAGACAGGGTCTCACTATGTAGTTGAGACTGACTTGGAACTCACTATGTAGCCCAGGCTGGTCTGGAGCTCACAGAGATCCTCCTGCCTCAGCCTCCCGAGTGCTGGGATTTCAGGCGTGCGCCACCATGCCTGGCTATTTTTGTGTTTTTTGAGACAGGGTCTCACTATGTAGTTCAGGCTGGCCTTGAGCTTGAGTCCATCCTCCTGCTTCAGTCTTCCCAGTGCTGGAATCACAGGTGTATGCCACCACACCTGGCAAGCCTGGGCAAGATAGAGACCGTGAGGCCCTGTCTGAAAATTTTAAAAAAATTATAAAAAAGGCCCTGGGTTTGACCCCCTGCACTGAAAGAGGAGAGAGGGTAAGAAGGAGAAGGAGCAAACTAGGCATTGTGGCTGTGATCCTATCTACTTTAGAGGCTGACGCAGCAGGATTTCAAATTCAAGGCCAGTCTGGGAACTTAACCAGACCCTGTCTGAAAATCATGAAAAAAAAGGAGGAGGTGGAGGAGAAAGGAAAAAGAGAAGAGAAACGAGAAGTTTACACTGGGTCTGCAGAGAGAAACAGAGAGGAGAGGGGCTCTGAACCCAGCGGGACAGGCGGGGCAGCGGGAGAATTGCGCAGGAAGTTCCTGTGCGCGGGGCTCAGCAGAGCTGGAGGAAGTGAATGGGCAGAATGGAATGGGTGGGTGGGAGGGGTGCGTCCGCCTGCCGCAGCCTGCCTGGTGCTTCCTCGAAGAACTGGAAGTCTCAATGGAGTGGACACTGACAGACACCTGACCCTGCAAGGCTCTCGACAAAGGTGTGAGGCTGCCCCGGCGAGTCAGAAACGTCCTTCCAGGAATGCAGCTCTGTCCTAAGCACAGCGGCTTGTGACAGGAGGTGCCAGCAATGCACTAGATGCACATTATCTTGCTTTATCCCACAGTAACCCTGTGAGAGGCACTGTCACTCCCCTCTTAGGGGTGGGAGACAGGCTGTGAGACCAGTGGTCAAACGCCAGTAAATAGTGGAGCCAGGATTCAAACCCTGCTCATCTCACTGAGACTATAATTAAAATACGCTAGGATCCCAGAAGAAATGGTCAGCTTCACGAGGGGGTGTGTCACGGAAGGGCTTCATGAGATAATTCAGAACACATAAAAGGGCTCGTACACAAACAGGTAAACGGGGCATGGTGGCCAGGACCTGAAATCCCAGCATTCTGCGAGGTTGAGGCAGGAGGATGCAAGTCTGAACCCAGCCTATGCAGCTTCATGGGACCCTGTCTCAAAAAAAAAAGAAGAAAAAAGGGCTGGGGATTTAGCTCAGTGGGTTCCAGAGCCTGACCCACAAGTACAAGGACCGGAGTTCGATCCCCAGTACCAAAAAAATAAATAAATAAAAAGGGCTGGCTGGGCCTGTACCTCAGTGTAAGGCCTTGGGTTCCATCCCTAGTATAACAAAACAACAACAAACAAGTAGTCCCAGTGTTGACTGTGCCCTTAGCACAGTGCTTATCTCTCTGATGCAGGTAATAACCTGTGGGCTTGTGAGGCTGCTTCTGCCCTGCACTGACGGCTCGGGGCGGCAGGTCAGGCTATGCCACCCCCTCCAGCCCCTGCGCTTCCCGGACCCCTCCGTGGGTCCCCTGAGGATCTGACTTGTGTGACACTTCCAGTTTGGGCTTTTGGGTTGTTTGTTCTGTGATGCTGGGGCTGCACCCCAAGGCTCTGCAGAACCTGGGAGGCAAGGGTGCTCCTGTGCCACCCCCAGCCCCCGACACAGCAGTCCCAGTTTCCGAGCTGGGACATTGACGATGAAACCAGAGAAGCCGGAAAGGTACAGCACCAGCCACAAACCCTCAGGCCACCTTCATTCCAGGAGTCGCCCTCCCTGTGCCTCTGTGGCTCGTCACCACTCCTCCTCCTGGAAGCCTTCCTGGATTCCTCTAAACTCTCGGACACTCCCTCCAAATCCCAGGGAAGTCTCCAAGTACACACATTACCACTTCTGCCTTTATCTGTAAGTAATCTGTGTGCCTGATTCTGGTGCCTCATAGGCCTCTTTCAGGGCAGGAATTGTTTTAAACCTGTGAGGCAGGTGCTATGGCCTATACCTGGAATCCAGGTAGTCAATAGGCTGAGGCAGGAAGATCTCAAGATCAAGCAATTTAATGACAGCGGGACCCTGTCTCAAAATTTAAAAATAATTTTTTTAAATGGCTAGGGATGTAGCTCAGTGGTAGAGTGCTTGCCTAGCTTTCAGGAACCCTGGGATCTAATTCCTGGGACCACATGCACACACACCTCTCTGTGGCTTCAGCATTTCGAGCATTTATTGCATTACATTATTTTTTCTCGTGGTCCTAGGGTTTGAGCCCAGGGCTTTGTAGATGCGATGCAAGTGCTCTGTTGAGAAGCTACACCACCAGCCCTAACTAGTTTCACTTTCTACTTTTTCTCAGGATGTGCCTGCTGGAGTTTTCCTTCTCTGGGAATTAGGAGGCTCAATCCAAGTGCATCTAAATCTTTGTCCTTTGCTCTCCTCTAAGTTGTACCCACACCTATCTTCCTGAGTTTCATAAGATGTAGAATTTTCATAAGAATCAATGCTGAGCCAGGCATTGCAGCACATGCCTGAGGCAGGAGTATCACTGGGGAGTCAAGGCCAGCCTGGGGTGCACAGTGAGTTCAAGGTCAGCCTGAACTGTACAGTCAGACCCTCTTTGAAAAAAAAAGGACCAATTGCCCATTACAAATATGGCTGTGATTGCCTCACTTCCTGTGTCATGTGACTCTCCCATTGTCATCACATGACCCATCCTTTTCATAGGACCGGAATTGACCTGTAGAGCTAGTTTGGTACCTACGACTGCAGTATATATCTGCATACTTGTTTTTATTTCGTGGATCTGCTTATCCCTCTGAGACTCTGGAACTCCTGCAGTGTTCTCTTCATCCAGTTACCAAATGTGATGGAGTTTTCACACCCTTCCATAGAGGTAAGTGGGTGAGGAATCCGGTTGTGATTTCCCCTCTTTCTGTCTCTCTCCCTCTCTCCTCCCCCCCGCATTCCCAGTACTGGCAATTGAATCCAGCATGTACCGAACTATATCCAAGCCCTTTTATTTTAAGATAAGGTCTCACTAAGTTGCCCAGGCTGGCCTCTAACTTTCAGTCCTCTTGCTTCAGTCTCCCAAGTAGCCAGGATTACAGGCTTACACCACTGTGCCCCACAAGTGGCAGACTCCGAAAGCAGGCCATTGTGGCTCTTTCAGCAGATGAAGAGGGAGGGGTCGAGGTTGAAGTGGAAGGGAAGAGGGTAAGGTGAGTCCTTACTTGGGGTGGCCAGAAAAGTGTCACCAGCAGAGGCGTTGCAGGGAGGGCTGCACCAGGTCTCATGCCTTGTTCCCACCCTTAATGGGATGGAAGGCAGGCTGCGCGCCCTGTAGGGAAGCTCACTGAGGGCTGGAGAGGGTTTGCCTTCTAGCCATTGTCCATTTTGTCCTCAGGAATGTCCCAGATGCCCGGGCAGGGTAGGCATGGCTGCCAGCCTCACAGGATTGCTCCTGCTTCAGGCGGCGACATGGGTATCAGGTAAGGGTGCCAAGGAGAGGAAGGTAGCACTGAGGATCCTCCTGCCTTCTGGTACTTTGGTCGCCTGCTAGCATGCTTACTGTAGGTGCTGGATAAACCCTGGGGAGTGATTGAGCCAGCACTGGGATGGGGTTCAGGGAGCAGGTATGAAAACCGATGTCCTGTCTCCTAACCAGCGTGTCTGCTGTCCTTGCCTGCCCCTGCTCTTGCCTCTGCCTGTGTCCCTTCCTTCCAGGCGCCCGCCCCTGCATCCCTAAAAGCTTTGGCTACAGCTCGGTGGTCTGTGTCTGCAATGCCACGTACTGCGACTCTCTTGACCCTCTGACCTTCCCTGCCTTGGGGACCTTCAGCCGCTATGAGAGCACGCGCAGTGGACGTCGGATGGAGCTGAGCGTGGGTGACTTCAGGGCCAACCATACGGGCACAGGTGACAGCTCCCCGCCCTTCGCCGGGCTCGTCCCCCTGGAGCTGTCAGGCCAGTGATCGGAGTGGAGTCTCCCTGCTGGGCACTGACACCTTCCTTCCTTGCTGGTGTCCTCAGGGGTGCTGTTGACCCTGCAGCCAGAAGAAAAGTTCCAGAAAGTGAAAGGATTTGGAGGGGCCATGACAGACGCGGCTGCTCTCAATATCCTTGCCTTGTCACCCTCTGCCCAGAAGTTGCTACTTGAGTCGTACTTCTCCAAAGAAGGTGAGGAGTGGGCCAGAGGATATACTGCAGTTGACACTTTTCTTCGACCCTTCCTTGTACCCTTTTGCCCTCTCTGACGTTTGGTTCCTTAGTGCAGTCAGACCGTCCTGTTAGTGTTCTGCAGAGTGTTTGGGACTCTCAGGCCCAGAGGCCACACTGTGCCCGGGTGCTGGCCTCCTCAGTCCCCAGCCGGCGCCCACATTCCCTCGGTCCTGAGACTACTGAAGACTGGCACGTTATAAGCCACGTTCTTTGTCCTCCATGTCTCCGTCGTCCTCGGCAGGGATCGAATATAACATTATCCGGGTACCCATGGCCAGCTGTGACTTCTCCATCCGCATCTACACGTACGATGACACCCCCGGTGACTTCCAGTTGCACAATTTCAGCCTCACAGAGGAAGATACCAAGCTCAAGGTGGGCATTCTGGTTGCCTATGGCCCTGCTGGCGTTGACGTTGGGTTGTAGGGAGGGCCCAGGTAGGGCAGTCTGCAGAGGGACTTTGACCCTTCTGCTGCTGCTTCATCCTGGGGTGGCGGGGTGCAGGCTGGCGCTGACCTGATGCACTGGTTGGGCTGGTTTTGTTCCACCTCTGGGTGTCTCTCCTCACCCCATTTGTCTCTAGATACCCCTGATTCACCAGGCCCTGCGAATGTCCCAGCGCCCTATCTCACTCTTCGCCAGCCCCTGGACATCACCCACTTGGCTCAAGACCAATGGGGCAGTGAATGGGAAGGGGACGCTCAAGGGGCATCCTGGGGACATCTACCACCAGACCTGGGCCAAGTACTTTGTCAAGTAAGAGACCGGTGAGGCTGTGGGCCGGATCAGCCTCCTCTGCACAGCCTGGCCCAGGCACTGGCTGTCACCTTGGGGCCACTGCCACATCTGCCTCTGCCTCCTGAGCCTTCCTGATAGTGCCCACTGTAAGCTCACAGGGCCACAGTCCATTCCCTTGGTCATGCGCACTCCTGTCCTTTCTCCTGCTAGGTTCCTGGATGCCTATGCTGAGCACAAGTTAAAGTTCTGGGCAGTGACAGTTGAGAATGAGCCTTCTGCGGGGCTGATGAGTGGGTACCCCTTCCAGTGCCTGGGCTTCACCCCCGAACACCAGCGAGACTTCATTGCCCGCGACCTGGGTCCAATGCTTGCCAACAGCACTCATCACGATATCCAGCTGATCATGCTAGACGACAACCGTCTGCTGCTGCCTCGCTGGGCACAGGTGGTAAGGCCTGGGGTCCCTGTGGTGCCCCGGTGAACCCACATCTAATGTCCATGTGACGGCTCCAAGCTTAGTGCCTTCCTCGTCCAACTCTGTTTTGTGTTTCGTCCATCTCGTAACTCTCCTAGTTTCATAAAGGTGGAACCTCAAGGTACTTTTGGGGGGGGGTACCGGGGATTGAACTCGGGACCTTGTGCTTGCAAGGCAGGCAGCTGGTGGCTCCACTGAGCTCCGTCCCCGGCCCATTCCTTTATTTTCTTTGTGTTTGTGACACAGTTATGTTCCTCTTGGGGAACTGGTACATACACTACTGTGTCTTGCTCATTCTGCTCCCTTCTCTCCTCTGCCCTCCCTTTTCCCTTTCCTGTCCTGTTTCCTGCCCCTTTGAGACTTGGTCTCACCACGTCACCGTGGCCTTGAACTCGTGTCCTCTTGCCTCAGCCTTCCGGGTAGTTGGGATTATGGGCCGGGCCACACCCTGCCCAATTTGGTGACCAGGGCAACCAGGCAGGCACTTTCTCAGAGCTCAGCTCCTCTTCCTGTCCCCTGTGCAGGTGCTCGCAGACCAAGAAGCGGCCAAGTATGTCCACGGGATTGCCGTGCACTGGTACTTGGACTTCCTGGCTCCGGCAAAATCTACTCTGGGGGCAACGCACCGCCTGTTCCCCAACACCATGCTCTTCGCCTCAGAGGCCTGTGTGGGCTCCAAGTTCTGGGAGCAGAGTGTGCGGCTGGGCTCCTGGGATCGCGGGGTGCGGTACAGCAGCAGCATCATCACGGTGCGCCTCCCTCCCTAGGGCACCGGGAAGGCCGAGAGCACCCTTCTGACCCCACCAGGCCGCCCTTCAGGGCAGTTCTGCAGCGCCTTCCCAGGCAGTGGCACTGGCTCCTACTTCCCTTGAGAGGCCTCCACCCTCACACGCTCTCCTGTGCTAAGGAGACAGCACCTACTCAGCCCTGTTTTGTCACCGGCCCCAGCTCCTTCTCTGGAACCGGCTTGAGCCTCTGCCCTTCCCTGTCTCTACTCCAGAACCTCCTCTACCATGTAGTTGGCTGGACAGACTGGAACCTCGCCCTGAACCCCGAGGGGGGCCCTAACTGGGTCCGCAACTTCGTCGACAGCCCCATCATTGTAGATATTGCCAAGGACACCTTTTACAAACAGCCCATGTTCTACCACCTTGGCCACTTCAGGTGAGTGGAGGGTGAACATCCCCATTCCACGCCGGGCCTGTCACCTCCTGCATCGGGCTTACATCACCCATGTTTAGGCGTTCAGGGCCGGGAGAGGCGCACGCAGCCTCCCTGGAGATACATGGGCAGAGCGTGACTAGGTGGCTCAGGACACAGGCAATCCCAGGGTGCCCGACACGGGCTGGGAGTGAGGGCAGGGCTTGGGGCCCAGGGAACTAGGACAGAGCCCTGGCAGGACTGCGGGTGGGGCCGGGCCATCCATGGTGCTTGTTCCCACATCAGCAAGTTCATCCCTGAGGGCTCTCAGCGCGTGGGGCTGGTGGCCAGTGAGGACAGCGACTTGGAGGCTGTGGCACTGCTGCACCCTGACGGCTCTGCAGTTGTGGTTGTGCTGAACCGGTGAGGACAGTGGCGGTCTGGGCCTGGGCTGGGCGGGCTGGACCTCAGCAGGCTCACCGACCTGCCTCTTCTCCACTCCAGCTCCTCTAGGGACACGGCTCTCACCATCAAGGACCCTGCTCTGGGCTTCCTGGAGACCATCTGCCCCGGCTACTCCATTCACACCTACCTGTGGCGCCGCCAGTGACAGAGCAGTTGCCCAAGCAGGCACCTGGGCCCAGCATGGGCCCTGGAGAGACAGTCAGCGCACACACTGAGTAAAGGAAGACGCTAAGGGCCAGATCGCAGTGACACAAGCCTGGGGCAGCAGTCGGGTGACACACTCTCCTCTTTAGTAGGTGCCAGGGGATGGAAACCCTGGTGTGTGGGAGCCCCATGCTGTGTGGGACCTGGCCCAGGCCCAGGGTGAGCTCACTGTCTTTGCAAACTCAAGACTGGGATGGGGGAGAAAAGAAGGCATTAAGAAAGCTGGACAGAGGGCCGGGGATGTCGCTCAGTGGTGCCAAGCCTGCCCGGCAAGCACAAGGTCCTAAGTTTGATCCCGGTACCAGGAGAAAAAAAAAAAAAAAAAGCTGGACCCCAAATGGGGACTGTTTGTCATTGTTGGAGATGCAGAACTGGTCCTGTGCAGGAGCAACGCCAGCATCAGGGCAGAGGCAGCCACAGCAGCAGAGGCCGTATGTATGCTTGTGCACCCGAGCGTTCCTGCGTTCTGGCTGGGAAAATGGCAGTCCCTTAAAAGAGAATGTTTGGCCTGAGTCAGCGTGAGTGGCTTTATTCTGGGGTGCAGCACCCCATTTCTGGCTGGATCAGCAGTGGCGAGGCAAAGGAGCCTCTGGAATGCATGACAATTAAAAAATCAGTCCTGGGAGCACGAAGACAATCACTGCTCTTCATCGTCCTCAGCCAGGCCCAGGGCTCGGGTGCCAGGGACCCGGGAGGGTGCTGCCCGCTGGATGGAGATGATGCCACTGAGCAAGGCGTAGCCCACCATGGCGGCCAGCCCCGCCAGCACAGACAGGATCTGGTTCCGGCGTGGGTATGGCTCCTCCTCGGTCTCTGGGCCTGCCGGTGCCTGTCGTGCGGGTGGCACCTCAGCTGAGGGCAAGGAAGGAAGAGGAGCTCGTTCCTGGATCCCGGCTCGCGCCCCCACAGCAGCACCCCCCGGCCCTCACCTCCATCCCAGGGGAAATAGATGCTGAGGATGTGGGTGCAGTAGGTGCAGAGGTTGTGCAGACCCCGCAGGTGGGCCGGCAGCTTCCCACTGGGCAGCTTCGCCTGCAGCAGCAGGGCCAGGTAGCTAAAGACGAAGGCGTCCAGGGAAGCAGGGCTGGAGAGAAAGAGCAGGGTGGAGGAGGGCAGCTGGGCAAGGGCTCTAGGCAGCAGGAGGCCACCAGAGCAGGACGGGATGCACAGTTCGGACGCAGAAGGGAAGGCTGCCTCAGCTGGTGCCAGCCTTCCCTGAATGGGGCTCTATCCCAGGGAGCATAAAGGGCACATTGAGTGCCCCTCAGCCCTGCAGGCCTCTCCTGCCCCTGGCTGCTCTCCCACCCCATCCTGCTGTACCACCGAGGTGGCTCCAGCCCCACACACAGCCTTCGTCACCAGAACTGGTGTCTGTCCTGGGGACCTGTCCAGAGCCTAAGCCCACCCCAGCCGCTGCCTCTGAGCCTGTATCATCTCCCAAGCCACCCATTCCTCCCCAGTGTGACTCACGCATCTCCAAAGAAGAACTTCTGAGAGCCCAGGCGCTGAGAGAGAAGTATCAGGCACTCCCGAGCCTCTTGGTACAGCTGTGGGAAGGAGACAGATAGGCCTGCGGCCACAGGAACGGTGCCACCTCCCCTCCTGGCACTGCCAAACTGGGGCACATCTATTACAACAGCTCCCTGTCCCAGAACTACCTCCTTTTCCAGTTCTTCCTCGTTCTCAGGCCTGTGCTCCCCACACAGCAGCTGCAGCCGCTCCATGTGCTGCCTCTGCATGCGACCAGGTAGGAAGAAGTTGAGGGGAAAGGGCATAGCCTCTGCATACCACTTCCGGGTCACTTCCACATAGTTCTTGGTGTCTATCCAGAAAGTATGGATCTGGATTGGGTAGGCAGGAAGGAAGAAGGGGTCTGAGCCAGTGCACCTGCCTGTCTCAGGGCAGGTTTCTGACTCACATTGCTCTGACCCTCACCCCCATACCAGGAATGCCGGGAAGGCAGGCACACATACCAGCACTGGGAGCAGTTTTTCCTCCAGCAAAGACATGAAGGCCAGGGTGTCTGCCCCTTGTCGGGCTGAGAGATCATAGTCAGCATTGTACTTCTGTGGGAGAAATATCCATGAGGTGAACAAGGGGAGCTTCAGGGCACTTGCCCAGCAGGGGAGTGGTACCTCCCCCGCTGGCCTCTGAGTGCAGTGGAGGTAAAGCAAGCTTTTCCCCTTGAGGCTCCTTCCCCGGGCCAGCCAGTAGCCTGTTGCTGTTGGCAGAAAGCCTGGGCCTTGGAGCCTGCTAGCTGTCAAGGTCCTGTGCCCACAGGGGAAAGGAAGGCCTTGCCACAAACTAGGAGCAGCTCCCAGAGTTTCCACGGAAAGCTGGCCACGTGCCTGCTGACAGCAACTTTCTAACAGTAACTTCCCCAACTCAGACTCCACAGAGCCAGAGGAGCAGAGCACAGAGGAAGGCTGGGCTGCAGCCACGCCTCAGGAAGTAGGGAACAACCACCTTCACTCTCTGGACCCCTGAACTCTTGCTCACAACCCCTGGCTTGATCGCTCAGGGCCTGTCTCCTGGCTGTTTCGTCTACTCTGTTCCAAGTCAGGCACCTCACCACGCACACATCCCACCCATACTCCAGCTCTAACCTGCCCGACCTCCCCAGCTTGCACCCCTTCCACATCCTGAGTAAGCTTTGTCTCCACATAGCCTTAAATCTCTCTGAACATCAATTTCTCCCCTGTGGAATGAGTGTAATAATCTCTTTCTCTCTATGTGGCTATGTTAGTTAAGTAATTTAGAAAAAACACTTTGGAAACTGGAAAAACTCTGTTTGTACATAAGGAATCAGGGAAGTGGTCCTGGCCCTGCCAGGAGCTTTGGCTTTTATTTGGATCCTATTTCTCTAGGTCTCTGGGCTGGGGATGTAGTTCAGTTGTACCATGCCTGTCTGGCAAGCATTCAGGTCTTTAATTCGATTCCTGGTACTGGAAAGAAAAAAAATGGAGGCCAAGGTATATTACTATCCTCTTATTAAAATAATACAGAATAGGGCCAGGGATTTAGCTCAGTGGTTCTGGCGCCTGCCTCACAAATGCAAGGACCCGAGTTCGATCCCTGGTACCAAACAAAACAAACAAAAAACCGAAACAGAATAGAACCAGGGATTTAGCTCAGTGGTGCCGCTGCGTGCCTTACAAGCGCAAGGTTCTGAGTTCAATCCTCAGTACCGCCCCCCCACCAAAAAATACAAAATACAAACACAAATACACATGCAAGTACAAAACACAGAAAACAGAATCACTCAAGCCTCCAGTTCTCTAGTTCTTTAATCCCTGGGAAAGTAGAAGTGAGGAAGAGGGTCCCATTTCTGAAAATGTGTCCCCTTTTGGAATCAGACTGTGAATGCTAGAACAACATTGGAAAGCATGCTGGATAAAGCCACCTGGTTTCACAAATAAGGATCTTATATGGGGCCAGGGTTTTAGCTCAGTTGCACCGTGCCTGACTTCCAAGCACAAGATCCTGAATTCAATCCCCAGTATGAAAAAAAAAAAAAAATTACGAAGACCGGAAGTACAGCTTAGTGATAGGATGTTTGCCTAGCATACATGGGGCCCTGCATTTGAACCCAGCACCAACGATCCCCCACACGAAAACAAACAAAATAAGGATCTTATAGCTCTGGGAGGGCAAGTGACTTGCCCCAAATCACACAGTCAATGACAGTGAATAGCACAGCCTAAGCCTCCAACTCATAATATTCTTTTAGATTCCCCAACCTAGCTCTAAGCCTTGTCCCTCCTGAGCCCCATATCCAGCCCCGTCTAGTCCCTGAAAACAAGGAAATGGTCATTGAGTTCCTTTCTAAAGCTGTGATGGCACATACTTGTAATCCCAAATACACAGGAGGCAGAAGCAGGAGAATCACAAGTTGGAGGCTAGCCTGCAACTCAGTGTGTCCCTGCCTTGACAAAAATATAAAGGGATGTTAATGTAACTCAGTGGCACAGTGCCTGCCTAGCACACTGAGGCCTAGGGTCCAGGGAGGGAAAAATCCCTTTTTCTCTCTTTTTTGAGACAGAGCTCACTGTGTAATTCATGCTGGCCTTAGAAGTCCCTTTCTAGTACCACCTTTGAGGGCTTCATCAGAGCCAACTGCTGTTCTCTACTTTCTTTCTCATCCACGTGCCATCAGCCCACACCTGTCCTCTCTCCATCCAGCACACAGAAGGCACTGTTTCCAGATGCCCTCATAGTGCCCTGAACTTAATTTCTAGCCATCTGCTTTACTGAACCACAGTGACAGTGTGTGTTTCTCATCAGAGTATGCATTCCTTGATGCTCTACATCACCTGTGCCAAGTTTGTCACATTACCTGGTGCTCAATAAATATGTTACATTGAACTGACTGGATCTGTCTCACTGGTAGCCCTCATCCAAGACACCTACCTCTTTTCGAAGGTGGGTGATGATCTTGTGTGGTACCGAGATGACTTCTCCATGGCTGGTCCGAAGAGCAGGCAGAGTTCCTGACATTGAGAGAGTATGCCCACCAGATCTTTAGCTGCCTAGTCATACACATCCTTTTTGTTTGTTTGTTGTGAGACAAGGTCTCACTTTGTAGCCCAGGTTGTACTGGAACTTGCACCAATCCTCCTGCTTCAGTGCTGGGATTACAAGAATGGGCCATCATGGCCAGTATTCATACACATTTGTACCACATTTCTGCCTGTTTCCTGCTACTCCCCTTGCACATCCCTTCTTCACCACCCAGGGACACTGGATACCTGAAGGGCTTCGCCAGGGGTTGTTGATCTTGTGTACCTTGAGTGGAGCCCCAGTAAATCTGGCATAGGTCTGCAGGAAAGGAAGCAGAAGACAGAGGTCAAGGAACCAAGAAGAGAAATATTTACTGAATATTTTGTGCCATGCCTATGCATAGCACTTTTGTACAAAAAAGAGACATTACCCTTCCTGTTTTACAAACGGGCAAAAGGGGGTTCAGAGATTATAGACATGTCCACGATTACACGTAGGAAAGTCTTTCTTTTTTCTCCTCTCCTGCCATCTGCCTGGTGAACACCTACCCTCAAAACGTTTTCATAGACAGTACCCTCTTCTTGATAGCACCATTCATGACTTTCTTTGACAGTTTCTGTGGCCTGTTTCTATTCATCTATTTTATAACTCACACGTGAACATTTCATTAAGTGGTTACATGTGTGCCTTCCCCTTAAACAACTTGAGGGGAGGAAGCAAATCTTACTCATTTTTTCCATGGTAATGTTTGGTATTTGAAAGAAGCCTACAGAGTTACCTCTAAAATCAGCAAGTGAGTGTAGGGGTGTTATGGACTATGTCTGACTTCAGAGATTTTTCTACAGCCTGGCTGTGGACCCTTTGGTCCAACAAACAGGCTCAGTAGATGGTGTTTGGTGAGGAGGAAAGGGGGTGCTGAGACGACTGATCATCCAGGAGGGATTCCCCCCAAGGTCACACAGCCAGTAAATAGATAAACAAGGACTAAAATCTATCTCCTGAAACCCCAGTCAAGCCTCTTTCCATTGCTAGACGAACCCTAGGAAGCCAGCCACAGCATAGGGCACTGGGCCCATGTGGGCTAATCCTGGTCTTTGCCTTAGTTTCCCCCAGTGCGGCCTGGCAAAGTTCCGATACTCGGCTAGCTCGGGCCCCCTCCCCAGTCCGCTAGGGCGTAGCAGAGGGCGTCGCGCCACCCTCACCAGCACGGCCAGGCTGTCCAGGTCCACTGACGGCAGCCCCCAGCCCCCAGCCCAGCAGAACAGCTCCATGGGCGCCGCCATCTTGCGCGCCCTCTCCTTAGTTTCCCCCAGTGCGGCCTGGCAAAGTTCCGATACTCGGCTAGCTCGGGCCCCCTCCCCAGTCCGCTAGGGCGTAGCAGAGGGCGTCGCGCCACCCTCACCAGCACGGCCAGGCTGTCCAGGTCCACTGACGGCAGCCCCCAGCCCCCAGCCCAGCAGAACAGCTCCATGGGCGCCGCCATCTTGCGCGCCCTCTCTCCCGGAAGCACTTCCCCGCGCGCGCCAGCCCGCTCCAGCGTTTCCCTGATCACCAAACACAGTCAGTTAATCCCACTGAGTATATGACTTCTACCATATATGCAATGTAAATGAATTAAAGTGTTGGTCACCTCAATCATTGTATGGGATATATTATTTTAATTGGGAAGCGTGAATCCCAAAGAATTACTATCAACCTCTCATCCATTCTTTCCATGTTCTGAGGCTGTTTCTTTCCATGTTCTCTGTGCAGGGTCTCAGCTAGATTACATAACTTGCTGTCCACCAGGAAACTATGGGGGAAGGGAAGTGGGTTCGCGGACAGTTGCCTTAGTAACGGGAACTCGGGCGCTCCTCCGCTTCATCCGGGTCACGGCCGGTCCACCGGTACCCGGAGCATGCCCCAGTCTGGTCCTTGGCTCCTGGCCTGATTTTCTACTATCTTTGGGGCCTTTTCCTTTTTCTTCGATTCGACCTCACTGACCAGTGTTTTCAACTCTGTCCATTTCTAATCTGATGCCTCCGGGCTCCCAAGTTTTCCTATGAATGAGGAACAACTGGCGCAAGTCTGAGAACCCCCACGCTAATAAAGAGCACTTACTTTATGCTAGAGCAGCAAGCTTCATGCCATGTGGGCATCCTCTGGGCACTACAGCAAGCTAGCTCCTGCAACTCCCTTGGCATCCTTAGTTGCCAGCTGTGGAATGATGCCCACTGTCTGGCCCACTCCAGGGGTTCCTGCCTTTTCTCACTGTGGCTTCCAGAAAACAGTAGCATTTGGTCGCGCTGGGAGTCGAGGCCCCCAACAGCGGGGCGTTAGAGAGGGAAGCACCTGGGGCAAGGACCATTTAGGCAGAAACCGAAGGCAGGGAGGCCTCTAGGGCTCTTTCCGGGTGCCCCTGGTTCCCGGGGCTGGTGATGCCTCCGGGGTGATTGGCAGCTCTT